AACAGAAAGTATTACGTGTGTAATGATGCCATTATCAGCTTCCTGCTTGCCTCTGGGCATGCCAGGGGGAATGAACTATTTAGCCACTTCTTTTCTCGTGCTTTGGAGCTCCCAGTGAATTTCAGCATCTCCCACAATTGGCATCTGAGCTGGTCAGGTTATGTAAAAAAAAGCTGAGCTTTGTGTACAGATGTCAAGGAGGAGCAGCAAGGCTGCAGTGTGTAATTGAATGAATAATGGGTGACTGACCCAATTGTGCTGAAAATGCCTCATAAAATTCAACTCTAAAGACCCAGGCCATAACAAAATGTAAAGTGCAGTTATAGCCAGAAGAACAACAGTATATAGATGGCAACTCTATTTAACAAATCCCTTCCATGTGCTCTTCCCCTTATCTGTTTACTTTCCTCAAAGAAAGCCTCCCCGCCCGGGGTTCATACAATGTTTCACTGCTCTGCAGAACTCACACAGCTAATGGGAAGAGAGATCAATTTTTAACTTCCTTTAAAACAATACATCCAAAACAGCATTATAAACTAAGTCTGCATTGCTAACAAGGATGCACAAGCCCACCCAGACTTTCAGGACCAGGTGCTCAGTGGGAAACAACACCCTCTTTAATACACAGATTTCTTTTTTGAGTCTCTATCAATTCACTGAAAGAAAGGTAAATAAAGAGTCAAATGCTGCTCCTTCAATGACAGAAGAATTATAGTTTTAAGAGAATTTTGCAGAGCTATAATTTTAAGGGATTTTTTTTAATTAAACTGACCTATATCAATAAAGGGTATCACTAGTAAGTAATTAATTTGACCAAAACTACTGATAGCTGCATTAACCTAAAAAAAGAATCCTTTTGTTACAGTTGCAGCATTCACACAGACTCTTACAAGTGTATTTGTATTATTTATGGTATGAATTTCACCATAGAATCCTTTCTCAAACCCTTGTTAGCCTTCAGAGCTACACCATAGAAATCCTTTATCCCTTTTAGAGATTAGCCCAACATACGATGCACACACAGCAATCAAAACCATGTAAGAACCAGCCATAGTTATGAACTACAAACAGTTTTTAACTACATTTATTCCCAGGTTGTTTTCTTCTACCACAAAACACCACCACAGAGAAGCCCCTCACAAGCTTTCCAATTAACTGACAAGCTAATGACCCGCAAGAGAAACCAGGCAGTCAATACTGATTCATTCTACCGACAAAGAGCTTTAACAGCCATGATCTGTTACATGTGACTTGAACCAGAAAGAGTATTTTCTTTTACAAGCACCCTGGAGCATCATATTTCATTTTAAGAGGGGTATTCTGTCTGCATAAAAGCTGCTTTAGGTATTACTACAAGGGTAAATGGCTTTAGAAAGAGCTCCTTGGAATAACACTAAATTCTTGCCTTGGAAGAAATCCATAGTTTTGACTCATTGCTATTCTTCTCTGACAGAACAGCTAATCAAGAATTTGACAGCTTGTCCTCACAATCTTAGCAATCTATTATAAGGACCATTTAGAACTTACTTCTCAAATTCAATATAAGCTAACTCCATCACAGAGAAAGCAAAGCTCTTGACCCAGTTGATGGAAGGGCTAGAATAAGACAGAAATTCAATTAACGCAAATTTAACCGACTAAATATGCAGGAAAATAAAGGTTTTTAACACTTGCAGAACCCACAGCAATCCATACATCATGTGCAATTTTTTCATTCATGCCGATGCCACATAGGCCTTTCATTTAAATGACTTGCAGTGGACTTACACACATTAGGATCTACAATGAGAACAGAAGAAAAGGAATGTAGACTTGCTATATCCTAGGGTCTCACTGTATACGTGCTAGACCAAAACAGGAAAGCAGGAGCTGAGGAATGATGTAATTTCTGGATGATGAAGGAAGTAATACTTTGACATAACATGGACTTCAGCTGGAGAGTTGTAGGAGGATGTGGGAATGGTGCATGTTCAGGAGCTCAGGCTGATCTGGCATGTAACAAGAGACAATGGGAAAAATTTTAAGAGCCAAACACTTCAGGCAAGCCACTGCCCCTTACTTATCTCATTTTACTGACCTTAAAAAAAAAATAGCTACCAAGTATGTTGAATTGTAATAACACAGAACCTGCCGAGATGATGATGTTCGTAATTGGGAATGGTGTGCAAGCTAAATAAAGGAAGCCAATTCAATGCAACGGAAGAAGACTAGGAAACAAGTGGTCTGGTTCACACATTCCTCACTCTATCACAGGCTTCCCACATGACTGCAGAGGACATTAAATGTCATGATATAATAGATAATGTTTAAAATGCCTTTTAAAGAATATTCCAAGAAGTTATGATTTGCAGGCAGGAATTACAGATAGTATGGAAGTGGCTTTGTTCAGAGGAAGGCTGACTAACACAATACTGGGAAGAATGGCTTTCTACTAAAGGAAGGCATGTTTCTGAATGTCTTTCCTTCTACTTTTCTAGCATACTTTCCTTTGCATACCAGGCTATTATGTATTTATGTTTTGCTTCTTAAGAAAAAATTAAAAGAATGCAAACTGGCAAAAGGCAAGTCATGCTGTTCTACACATTCAAGATATACAAATATACACACTGCTTAAACAGAAGCAGTTCCTGTATAAGTAATAACATATACAGAGTAACAAAAAAATGTAGTCAGAATGCAGTTTCCATATCTACACAATAGAATATACCACACATATGGTACCAGCGTAAAACAAATCCTGTACTGAAAATTCTAATTTTTCATAGAGAAACTAAGCTGTCATCTCTGATCCCTGCCTGAAGATCATGATAGACAAGAGTCCTTTAACAGTAAATATTCTCCTTTACATTACTGTCACCTAAAAAATTACTAAAGATCTTATTATTTAACTCCCTATCTCCAAACAACAATATAGTGCTTAAGCAAAAAGCACTTTAGTTTCTTTAAAACTAAGCACAAATTAGAATAATTTAAAATTACTCAAATTTGAATTTCTAATTCAAGAGCAACATCCTAGAAGCCCACATTCATATTGTATGCATATGAGAAAGCATGATGGGCTGAACCCTCAATTCATATGAATATGTATTCCCTCCTAGATAAAAATCAGCAGATTTAAACAGTTTACAGTTTGAATTTGGCCAGGAGTAAGGACACTGCCTGCAAAGGATAACCTCATTCTAGTGATCACAGCCTGCACAGAGCATGGTTTTTACAATCTTATGTCTTCTAATATGATTCCTCCTCCGATTCTCAAGTCACAAGAAGCTGTACTGTCTGAGATGATGAAAATATCTAAATCAAGCCCTACACTTCTAATCTTGCTTTTAACAGCAAACAAAAGCTGACCTTCAAAAAAAGCTTTTGTCCAGTCCTTTGCAAAAGGAATCAGAAGTGATACTTCAGGAACATTTGGTGTAAACATCTGTGACAGTCTACATCAAGCCAAAAATCCACCAAAAATCTTAAGTCTAGGGACTTTGCTGGGCCTTTAGGGAAAAAAATCTACAATATAAAAATCAAATCAATCAATAACTTCCTTGTATCTTTACAGTTCCCTCAGTGGGAATATCTCAGAAAGTTCTGAAGACAAACCAGAAAACAAAGCTTTTGAATAAAACTATACTTAACAAGAGACAGCTTTAAGCTAGACATGTACAACTGGGACTAAAGAAAAAAAAATAAAAAAAGAAAATATGCTTGTACCCAAAGTTTTCTTGAGTAAAATCAACAGATTCATTCCTTACAGATATCATGTGCAGATTTTTACCAGGACAAGACCACATTGTTGCTGGTCTTGAACTTCTGCTCAGGAACATTCAGGGCTAGATAGCATGAAATGCACTAAGGTAAACCAGCACTTTTTGTTTTCTGAAATTCTTTACCACAAAGTTGGATTCTATCTAATCAAGGAAGACATTAGATAAGATTTTCATTCTATGTGATCTGTTCATAAGCCTGTCTGGGCTATATCTGAGTATCACCATACCAGGAAAACAATTTTTCAGTCAAGCACGTAATTTCCTTTTCATCTCTGTGCAATGATCCATGGGACTTTAAACAATGAGATTTTCACAGCAGCACATCTCTGTAATGGGAAGCAAAATCATCCTTTAAACATAGCTCAGGGTTTTCTAAACAAACTCTGATTTTTCCTTGGATAATGCAGTCCACAGAAAACTTCTATATTATGAGAAAGTTAGTAAAACAATTATAAAAACACAAAATATCTGCTGAACTGATGTGCTGAAAATCCAATTTCTCTGTCTAAACCTAATGGTACTCTTGAGGCATGGACTTTTGACACTAAATAGGAGAAGAGTTGTGTTTAACTCATACTGAAAATGAAAATTCTGTCAGTTGCCAGAACTAGTCACCTGAATTAGAAGTAAAATGCAGAGTCTTACCTTGGAAAGCTTCCAACTTCAAAAATTAACCTGAGACAAAAATCAAGAGATGTACTTTAAGGCGCAGAAGCCTTGGGCCTTCTGCACATTTCAATCTACAGAGTTCTCCAAGGGTTTCCATATGAATGGGAATATGAATGAGAACTCAGAATTATGCACCAAGTGCTGAACCATCAGAGAAATTTTGCTCCATCAATTTGCTGCTCTTCTAGCTATGACTTGCAGAGCAATATTTCTTCACTGTTGCTTTATGTTAAGTATTGCTCCAATACATGTGCTTCCCCACATAGAATTTATCAAGAGGCAGAACCAGAAGCACACTTTCCCAACATCTGTATGACCTCAGCTCACCAACAACATTTCTCACTGACTCACGGGTTGCTGGGTGACTGCACTTGTCTTCACTGACTCTTAAAGAGTTATACCTATATGACTATAAAAACTCATCATCCTGCCCAGCTCTTGCATACACTAAGAACTCTAAACTGAGATGGTTCTTGTCTGCTGCAGTGCTGCCAGCCACTAGCCCCAATTAGGAGGCCTGCAGAAAAATCAGAACATTAGATGACACTTCACAATTTTTTATAAGAATTATCAATAAGGGTTTTTTTTAATGCCTGCAATAGCAATGAGGCAGCACCTCAGTATAGTTTTGCATTTTATAATATAAAATCATAGAATCATAGAATCAGTTGGGTTGGAAGGGAACTCCAAGATCATCAAGTCCAACCCTTGATCCAGTACCACCGTGGTTGCTAGACCATGGCACTAAGTGCCACATCCAGTCTTGCCTTAAAAACCTCCAAGGACAGAGAATCCACCACTTCCCTGGGCAGCCCATTCCAATGTCTGATTACCCTCTCTGTAAAGAAATTCTTTCTAATATCTAACCTAAACCTCCCCTGGCACAGCTTAAGACCATGCCCTCTTGTCTTGCTGATAGTTGCATGGGAAAAGAGACCAACCCCCACCTGGCTACAACCTCCTTTCAGGTAGTTGTAAAGAGTGAGGAGGTCTCCCCTGAGCCTCCTCTTCTCCAGGCTGAACAGCCCCAGCTTCCTCAGCCTCTCCTCATAGGACTTGTGCCTGAGTCCCTTCACCAATCTAGTTGTTCTCCTCTGGACCTGCTCCAGGACCTCAATATCCTTCCTGAACTGAGGGGCCCAGAACTGGACACAGCACCCAAGGTGTGGCCTCACCAGCGCTGAATACAAGGGAAGAATCCCTTCCTTGGACCTGTTGGTCACACTGTTCCTGATACAGGTCAGGATGCCATTGGCCACCTTGGCCACCTGGGCACACTGCTGGCTCATGTTCAGCTTCCCATCACTCCAACAGAAACAATCAGTTCACAGCCACCTGGGAATGCTGATGGCATCTTTAATGATTCCAAGCTCAGTTTTCATTGCCATGTATTGAGAAATCTGGTCCTGTAACACACTATTCAGAGCGCAAAACTGGCTGTCTGTTTGAACCAACCATTCGCATAGTGCTGCATTTCCCACCACTCTTGTGCCAGCTGATGTTGCAGGGTAGTTGAGGCAGTTGTTGCATCAGCTGCTACCCCAAACAGGAGCATCAGACTGAAAACAAAGGCACAGTCAAACAGCTCAACAGCAGGAGCAGTTCACATATCCTACCTAATACTTTTCTCAGATTTTCTGATGTATTAATAGATGCCCATTCTTCTGCCACATCTGTCTGGTGTGCAAAAAAACTAGGGCTTGCCCAGAGCAGCTGCAATTATTCTCCTAAGAATAACATCCATTTTACTTCACTGGCTGAAAGAGTCTGTCCCTAGATGCTGTTGCTAGCTATTTCTCTTCGTTATATACAAACAAATTTAGTATTCTACATTGATTGGGGCAGCTGGTCATTTTTCTCTAAAGAGAAATAAATCTCATTGTGTGCATACCCAGAGGAATCAGCACAGATGTAGCCTGGGCTTTATAGGCTGCTATGTCCCACTGGATGCTGTTCAAGCAAGCAGGGGGAACCAGATGCTCAGCAGGGAAAAACAGATTCCTTATTACACTGCACATGTGGGTACTCAAGCAAGTGTTACTCATCTTTCTGCTGGGACTTTTTCCTTCTGTTCGGAAGGACGAAAAAAAATACCTCTAAAATTGCTCCAAAATATTCAGGTTGCCAGCAGTGGTTCTGTCCTCCAAGATGGAAGACTTGCTTTCTCCTTTCCCTGCTGTGTTTTTAACCCCTCTTGTTCTTCCCAAGGAAGGTCAGTGCCTACAGTGTAGGAGACTTTGCAGAAGCCCTTTTTCCTCTCTCCAACAGGGGTCCCCACTAGACCCAGTGGGATCAGAATCACTATGAACTTCAAAGTCACGTTTGCACCTTCACAGGAAGAAAATTCACTTCACGTGCTGAAGCACAGGCATTGTTTGGCATGCCAAGCTTTCAGTACACTGTTACTCCTAGAGTTGCTGCCAAAAGTGAGAAAAAAAGAAATAAAGCTACTTGCCCATGGAGTCTACCCTTCAGCCCTAGGCAGAGAACAAAGGAATGAAATTAACCCTAGGTAGAATACAAAATGGAGAGGAAAACACCTATCTATCTACAAAAAGAAAGCTGAGCCTCCTAATCAGTCAGATAACAAAAGATGAGGCAGACCTCTTCCTTCACCTATGACTTGTCTTAGCCTCTCACAAAAGACTATAGCCAACTTCTTTGAGAAAGCTGAGATGATGATCTCATCGAAACACAAACCCAGCTGTGGGACTAGCTGAAAATAAGACAATCCTATTATCAAGGCTTGAGTTATGACATTTGATAAGAAATGTGGAGTCTCCCTTCAAAAGCCCCTTGGGGTAGAGGAAGCTGGCTGTGAGAAGAATCCCTCTGAAGGCAGAGTCCTCCTCAGATGCCAGGGAACATCCTCTCTTAGTTCTGCTCCTCAGCTGCAAGCCCACTGTTCCAGGTTTTGTGAAGGTGTAGCCCAAAAAATAAAATGGATCAACTAAACAAGATAACTACAATTAAAAAGAAAATAGGGCTTCATACCATCTTCATTATATCTAGCTATAATAGCAGCAGTGGTATCAGCTGTATTTTAAGAATCCTGTAATCATATTTTGGCTCACCTCATGTAGCATAGTCAAAGACAGGTTTCCTATCACAGAGAACAGTGTTAAAATTCTGTGTTAAGCTCTTAAAAAAAAATAAAATCAGAGCAGCATGAAAGGGCCCCCGATGGAAATTAAGTCAACCCAACAGACCTTAGGGGGCAACTGAAGCTGCCAGAAGGTTCCCATGCACAGAGCTTACAACTGGCACAGAAGTGAACAACAGAGAGGGCAGTTCTGCACAGCAGTTCTAGTGATATACAGCACTTCTTCATCTGATGCAAACAGTTTTTCAATTCCTGCAGACTTGTAAAGCTAAAATAACTGAACTAGTGAGGTGACTGAGCGCTCTCTCTTCTTCACTCTTACAACTTGATGATGAAGCTCTAACTGTGGTGGACACTACACAAGTTACCTGTCTTGGCTGCATATCTAACAACTCAAGACAGTCATTTCATCATGCATATCTATAAAAAGGAAATAAAGAAGGGAAAGCTCTCATCTCGCATTTATCTATTTTACTCACTTGCATTCCTTTTTAATATTATCCTTTCCCCGGACTTTTGATATTTTAGAAGAATACCATGTGGACAGATAGCATGGTGTAGGTGTGACAGAAAGAGGTATTTTTTAAGAAGGCGAAAAAGAAGAAAATTTGCCATACAAAGCTGGAAACAATACAAAGGAAGGAGCCCAGAAGGTTTATCCTTTCACACAGCACAGGAGCAAGAATCTTACAGAGATTAGAGACATATGCACACAACACACATGCTTACACCACCATCAGTGAACTGTAACAGCATCTGGGAAGGCAAGTGGCTATTGGGTAGGGACAAGTGATAGCAGGAGGAGGAAAGTCTGGTCAGAAGGGAAGAAAGTCTTCCTGCCAAGGGAGCACCATAGGATTGCCGACATTCTCCCAAGGCAAAACTTGATGATGCAGCACAGGAAAATCACCCACCAAGTAGAAAACGCAGAAGTAAATAAAATTGCAGGAGAAGGTAAAAACAACATTGACTTGCTGAAATTGGCTCCATGTGCAGCCAGTCCCAGGATCAGCTAAAACCTCCCCAGTGCCAAATGAGGCCAGAAGAAGTTAGAAAATCATGCAGTGCGCTTAGAGGTCTACCAAACCATCAGGATCTTCAAGGAACAACTTATAACACAGCATAGGAGTCCCTCCTGGAAAAAAAAAATCAGGAATATATTTCAAAAAAAAAAAAGTTTAGATTATTTTTGCTTCTAGCCTACCTATCAACAGCACTTTCTACTTGTAATTAAGCACTACTATGGTTGTAATATCAGGAAAAATGGAAAACAACAACAAAAAAAAACTTCAAATAACTCAAGAAGTAAATCCAGAAGACTCCAAGAGTATCTGGCATTAAAAGTACAATTCTGTTCTCTGCTGTTCCACATAAAGGCCCAGAAAAGAGTCACAAACATTAGCAGCCTGTGCACTGCAATATAAATTTTTTGATGCCATAAAGGCACTTCATCCCTATGCTCTTTGTATTTGTGATACTCTTCTATTCCCAAAGGATATTTTTGATATGTAGGCATTGTCACAGAAATAGTCAAATTAAAACTCAAACCACACAGTAAAAAAGGACTTTCCTAGACATGATTGCATGTTTTCTAGTAAACAACAGATACCCTTTTGAAAGAATGGATTGCAATTTGCTTTCCTCCTTTAAAGATAAGATTTTTGTTGAAAGGCTGATATCAATAAACATGGCTACATTAAGGCTTACTCGGTAATTTCATGTAGTTTGCTAACTTCTAATTTGACTAGATATTTTGAAGATCAACAAAAAGCGTACCAAGCAGTCTCTCCTAATGACAAAACACGACAGCCCATTCTAAATGCTACTTTCCTACATTACTATGTGAAACTATATAAAAGCCTTTTTTCCTATTTTTCCCAAGTAAACCAAGTTCTCTTAAAAAACACACCTGATCAGGCTTTGCCCTCAACTGAAGTTGCTGAATGCTTTGAGTACATTCCAACTAAAAAGGTTTACACCCTGAGCATTTGTATTTCTCTTTGATTTCATCTTTCTCAAATGAGCTCCGAGCATCACGATAGCAAAGTGAACTGGCTACATAAATCTTCAAGTTCAGTTTCTTGCAGCACTGGCCATACTGTAATAACTAATACATATGAATAGAAAGTTTCCCTATCTTCAGAAATCCCGCACAGCCACTGTAGAACAAATTCCTATTAATTAAAAAATCATTCCATGCAAAAAGTGGAAGAGGTGGAGCATTCAAATATTTTTAAAGGTAATTAATTGAATTTCTTTCAGCCAGCAATCAGTGCACAGACAATAGTCCAGATGGAACTTTGCAATTTATTTTAAGCACAACATGCTGTATGGACACATGCATCTGTAGATATGGATAAAAACAAAGAAAACGCTAAATGAAACTAAATATGAACTGAAGTATAAGAGATTTCCCCAGATTTTATTGTGGCATGAAAAAAAAAATCAAAAAATACCTCCCAAAAAAACCTCCCAAAAACCACAAACAAACAAACAAAAAGGAAACGAGAGGTACTGAAGTCAGTCAAATAATTAACATGGTCTTACTTTATAATTGGAAAATTCAACTTACACTAGCTAAAAACGTGTTTCTGAAATGGTGTCCACTTCAGTAGCAAATAAGGAAATTATATATTTTGATACCTTTTGCAAACTCCAGCAAAGAGTGCCTCACACTGAAACACTCATACCCATTTTCCTCTGATTTCAGTATGTTGCCTTTAGTTAAAACACTAGCATGTGTCACAGTGCACACAACACCAGCTGGTCCCACCTTTTAAACACATCTCCACACAAACCCACGGAAGTGAGCTTTTGCCCTGCAATTTCCTCGTTTTACAAAAACAATTACACCCTTTAGCTTACCAAGAGCAATTAAGTCTCTCTGGATGAGCACAACAACCACATTCTGTGGTCTCAATCTCAATAAGAATTCCCTGTCAAAGCATATTTCTTTGCCCATTAACCGGCAGGTTTTAACTCCATCTTCCAACAGCCCTCAAAGAAAGGTCCCAGAGTAACATGCCTAACATTTCTGAATTATTCAAACTCAAAGCATGCTGTAGTTGTTGACAAAGGCTTTTTGTTTTCAAAAAGTTTACCACATACCAAAGACAAACAAGACAAAATAAAGAATATTCCTGAAAAAATAACAATTGACAAGAAAAGCTTAGAAACAATGCTCATCCCAATGTTACATTGACTCACTCTCTTCTTCCTTCATACTTTTATTTGGGCAACTCTTCTTCGTTTTATATGTTCTCTCATGTTCCTCGAAGTTTGCTTCAATATGCTGTATTTAATAGCATTTAGTTGAAGAAAAATAATTTTTATTTTATAGTGAACTGCAAGCCACTGAATAAAATTCATTACAGCACAGACTGTCTTAAGAGTGCTTTGCACTAGCTCTGCCTTGTTACTCCAATGTGAATGCAATTCAGGTAGTCAGCAAATATTTATGCAAAAACATTATAGCAGTACTTTATTGACTAGCACAACGCTGTTGGAATAAATATATAGTATCTTGCAACCCAATAGCCAGGAACTTGTAATGTACAGCCCATCAATGCTGAACAACTTTCCACGTACACACTGATCTTCAGTATACATTCATAAGTAATAGAGCTATCTGTGTGAGAAACAAAAACTTTGGAAAACCTTTTTTTTTCAGCAATTATTCATAAAATAAAATGGAACTTTCCAGAAAAATCTCAAAGATTAAATATCCCAAGACTTTGGAATTTAAAAATAATATGCTGAACTAGCATCAATCAAGTATTTTAACCTGTTACCTAACATACAATACTTCTTTCACAAGAAGTACTGATTTAGAATAAGCCAATGCAAGTTGCAACCATGGAAATTCTGGCTAGATATGAGACAGAGGAAAAATTCATAGCAAGGGTGATGAAATGTAGGATGCCTAGCAAGGCTGCAAAATCTCCATTCTTGAAGATACGCAAAACTTGGGCAGATGGAGCCCTAAGCAGCCTGATCTTATTTGGAAATTGTGGTCCTGCTTTGAGCAGTTTAACAAGATGACCTCCTAAATTATTCTAGAACTGTATGACAATGTAGGTGATGCCCACAGGCACACAGGACATATACTCACACCAAATGTCTTACTGTCTGCATGCTGCTTTTTCATCTTACAGAAAGAGAACAGAACACGACTGGATGCAGACAGAAGATCACTGTACCTAAGATATGATGGACTGCATAGCTTTAAAAGGAAGCCACCTGTCACTTAAGCTCACCGTCAAACTGAACAAACTCTCACTATTAAATAACTGCAGCCATTACAAGGGCATTTTCTTCTCCTCAGCCCTTCCAAATATATAGCCTGCCCTGAAAGAAAGAAATAGCAGAGAACCCTCGCTGGTAATGTGGCTGCTGACCACCAAGCTGGGATGCTTTCAGCTACCTAAAGTAGCAAGTGGTTTGGGGAAAGAAATTTGAGAACCAAAAGCAAGGAAGTGGCCAAATCATAAAGTCAAGTGGTTGAGTCTCACAGTTGGACTGGAGATTTCAGTCTGTGCTCCCAAGACAGCTTGTGCACTTTCCAATAGAGTAACAGACACACATATACAACACTCGAGCAGATTTTAATTCAAAGACAGCCACCATCTTCTGCAGAGAGGAGAGGAGCTGCTCAACAGACAGTAAGTGGTACCTTTGAAAGGCTGCATCAGCCAGACTGTGACATAGTCCTACCAGTTCACTTTGCTTTTAAGTTATGAAGAAGGAAGGAAAAAAAACAACCCCAAAATCAAAACATTAGCACTTAATTGAGGGACTGTTGCCAACTCTCTCAAAAACTACAACCACCAGGTCTCTCTCATCTAGTTGAGTGCTATAATTATTAAACTTCTCCACTTTCCCAGAGTCAGACTCCTCTTGCCTGTTGGCTTTTGCTAGATTTCTACTTTTGCATTCCTGGATACAATAAGGCCCAGCCTAAGAACTGTGATGGAGCATGCTCCCTGCCAGGACACTGAAATCCTTGGCAGGTAAGAGCTTGCCCTGAGTCCGTAGGTTCAGATCTAGGCAGGCTACAGAGGACCTCAAACACAGAGTTTCCACATTCTGAACCAAGGACTCTGTCTCCTACATGACCATGCCATAGGCAGGCATTTACATCACTACCATTAGTTATGGTCAGAATAGGCTTTGGGGTTTTACACAAACACCCTACTATAACCTGAAATAGGAGATTTAAACTGTTCCCAAAGGTTCTCACAGATGCCTAAGTATGTTTACTTGTGCAGCCCAAACCAGCATTTTTGCATCCTTTATTGGGTCTAACTGAGATGGAGCTAACTTAGCAGCCCTCACAGTGCTGTGCTTTGCACTGGTAGCTAGAAAGTTGCTGATAACACACCAGTGTTTTGGCTATTGCTGAGCAGTGCTGGCACAGCATCAGCACTGTCTCTCCAACATTCTGCCCTTCACCCCCCAGTAGGCTGGGGATGGGCAGCAATTTCTCATGAACATTAATATCAAACTAAACCCAATAAACACAAAGGGAGAAAAGAAATTGCAAGCAACGTAGTTATTGCTTATCTGGGAGGAATACAAGTTAGCATAAACGGGAATTTTATTTTCTCAGCAGTAGTATCACTTTCAAAGTCCTATCACCAGCGTCCAATTGAGTCTAGGGCCCAAGTGCTTCTATTGCTTTTGTAAATAAAGATGAGGTTATTTCCAAAACATTATCAAGAGTAGCTACTTTTCCATTTAAGGAATCATATGCTGTGCATGTAACTGTAGGTGTCCCAGAAGTATTCACACTGCCTCCTTTCCCCCACTACCTCAAGTCCACTGTCTGAGTTTAACACTCATCACATTGGACTTTATTATGATTATGAGTTTACTGAAGCAAGCAGCATCTCTAATATTTATTTGAATGGTGCCTAGTACACACTTTCAGGTTGTGATAAATGTTTTAATCACTGCACTATAACAAACTGGGGAAAAAAAAATCCACCAGTTAACAAGAAGAAATGGTGTAAACTGATGATAGGTATTAAAAATTGATGGATGCATATGCTCTCTATAGGTGACCCTTTATCATAAAAAACCATTAAGTGCAAGACCTTCAAATAACTACAACCCCTTCCTGAGGAAGTACATCAATATTAGAATTTCAACATCTCTTCTTAGAAAATTTTCCAGAGTCTGAATGCAGCTAATTAGCTGGCACTATCACAAAGAAACAACTGACAGCCAATTCAACAGAACATTGAGCAAGATACAAGACTCTACATCCAAACTGAAATTTAGATACCTCTTTATTGTTCCTGGAAGATCTAGACTGAATGGAATTTGATAGGAGGCTGCTAAAGTGTCATCCACAGCCTTGCTTATTTCCTGCAGTTCTCTCAAAGAAACGCAGCCAAGTAAAGCAGCCAGTTCACAGTCCTGTGACTGAATAAGTCTATCTTGTTCTTCAATTTCTCTTCTTAGCTGTTGATCTTTTGCTTCTAATATGGCCAGTCTTGTTCGGAGGTCTTCAATTTCTTTCTGCATAGAACAGAGACCAGAGTTTACTATATAAACCCCGTTAAAGAAACCCCTCTGCCCCTAAAAAAAACCACAGTACAAGTCTCGAGAGTTAGCATGAATTAAGTCTGTACAATTTAGCACAATATTAAATAAGAAGACATCCTTTAGCTGACATGCAAAACTCTTACGTTGGTTGTATTTAGAAACTCCAGCGCTTCCAACGGTCTGAAAACTCCTCCCTTTCAACACCAAATTCCAGGTTTCTCTTCCAACACTCACTGTCAGCCATCTTTTACTTTTAGAATACACAGGTATTTCCCAAGTTAAAAATTTTCAGGAAAAACAAACAAACAAACAAATCTCAATTCAACCATATAACAGAATCTCACTCTACAGACTGGCAACTGAAGTGATCTGTCCTCCTGGAGAATATCCCCGCAATGGTTCCTCTAGGCCTCCAGTCCAACATCAGGCACAGGATGCAAGTGGAGAAACTCTGACTAACTGGACAGCCCTTTTGATAATTAACACTTCATTTTAATTAAGAGCACAAAATCTGTCCCTGGACTTGAAATGTCCAGAACTTCAACCTCAGTTGCACCAATCTTGCTAGAAGTTCAAACTCTGTGCATTGTGATACTGATGTTTCTTCAAGAGCATGTTATAATTTTTAGAATCATAGACGTGTACAATCACTAATGTTGGAAAAGACCCCTAAGATCATCCTGTCCAACCTTTGACCGAACACCACCTTGTCAACTAAACCATAGCACTAAGTGCCACGTCCAGTCATTTCTTGAACATTGCCAGGGATGGTGACTCCACCACCTCCCTGGGCAGCCTGTTCCAATGCCTGACCACTCTTTCTGTGAAGAAATTCTTCCTGATGGCCAACCTGAGTTTCCCCAGTACAGCTTGAGGCCGTTTCCTCTTGTCCTGTCACTAGTTACCTGGGAAAAGAGGTCGACCCCCATCTGGCTACAACCTCCTTTCAGATAATTGTAGAGAGTGCTAAGAACTCCCCCTGAGCCTCCTCTTCTCCAGGTTAAACAACCCCAGCTCCCTCAACTGCTCCTCATATGACTTACTCTAGACCCTTCACCAGCTTCATTGCTCTTTTCTGGACACACTCTAGCACTTCAATGCCCTCCTTGAAGTGAGGGGCCCAAAAAAAAAAGTTTCACAAATTTGCATTTCATCCTTGTACAGGTTTTTCCTTGAAAACCCAACAGATAGCTTGCATCTTCAAGAAGTCTGCGTTGCCGAGTCAAAGGTATTTAATATATAGCCCTTGGCTCATTTGTACCAGAATTTGAAAAGCAATTAGGAAATACGGTGGGGGGAGAAGGGGGGAAAGGAGTACTTGTCAAACTAGCTGAATGTCATACTGAAGAATTTGCTTCTATTCCTACATTTCTTACTGTCTCTATGAAACCTTGCAAGCCACTTAAACTATTATCTTCACATGCAGCCACAGACTATGTTCACCATTTTTAATACAACCCGCAAGAGAGGTCTCTGACAGGTCATCTACAGACTCTCAACAGAAATCAAAGCTCAATTCCATGCTCTGACTCCATTTAGTCCAATTAAAAATAAAAAACAAAATTAAAACCACAAACTCAAAACTAAACCTTTAACAGATAAATAACTAGGCATTACAAAACCGACATTAGAAACAGTGTGGTTTTTTATGGCAATTCACTTCTTCATTCTCCATGTTTAAAATGGCAATAAGAATATCTCTTTACTTGAAGTGGTGTTACACAGATAAAATAAGTTGTTTTGAATCACTAAGATGTCATATTGATTAATACTGTAAAAAGAGTCCATTCACTAATTAATAAATTTGAATCCAAAATAGGGTTTGAGTGGCATACAGTAAAGGGGTTCTAAGACCAAATACTGAGTAATGAAGATAACACAGTATTCTGAATATCTGAACAGACACTTTCCATCTTCAGCAATGTATGAGGCAGGGATCCAGGGGGCGGGGGAGAGGGCAGCCTTATATAATTAAAGACTCATAAAAACATACATACCATGCACAGATAACTAACTTGGGCATTTCTTTGCTTTTTCGGAGCTTCACTTTGAAACCTTAACATCATTTTAATGTTTTCAATGTAATTTTTGTGAAGTTTAGTTCATTAATGCTCATTTTGTCAACAAACGCACTTTCAGGTTTGCTGCACTGTAACTAGCTTCTGCAGTATCACTTAAAACAAGAAGAAACAGTCCTTGCACATTCAAAGGTTGGTTGGCTCAAAAATTTCAACTTATAAATAGTGCTGTACACTAGATTCATCAATTACTTTCCTCCTTTTTTGGTTTTAGATTTAGGAACAAGAGAATGCTGTGGCCCATGTTTCAACTCACAGGCATTTGTCAAGGACAGAAAGGTCAGCAGACCAAAAAACATCAGTTTTGTTTCTTTCAGTCTCAAATTAGGCTTTTAGTGTGCACAAAGGACAATTCTGTCTGTATTACTGGTTTGGGAATACTGCCAAAATCTTAATAGGCCCTACTTAATACAAAGACCTTACATATTCTGTGAAAAAGTAGTAATTGCGATCACTGCAATAAGCAACCTACATGGGAACAGAAAGGAAGATGAACAGAATCTGGGTTTACAAACACACTTTTAGTACTAAAGTGTTATTACAACATTAATAGATAGCAGAAGCACACAATCTGCATTCACAGAGAGAAAGCTGCCCTGCTTGGGAATAGTTCACAGGCATTTTTGGGAGCGTGGAAATTTTAGTCAGTAAACTGGAATTCTCCCGCGTTCTTTTCTAGAAATGCCAAGAAGCCTTTAATGTGCTCTTGGTCAGCCTCCAGGGACAGATAAAAAGGACTTGAAGTCTCACCATGGAGCAGCAGACAATATTCATCCCACTAAACATAAGCTGAAGTTTTATTTTGTGGATTTGAGCTTGAACAGATATTTCTAACACGACAGCTAATCAGTACTGATGCTAAACCTCCAGCTTCACTTACAGGCTTGTGTTCTCCATGAACTACAGATTGCAGTAGAAACATAATTATGTAAATTTTAGATACTGTCACAGGTTTTCAAATCCCTGAAGACAAATGCAGAAGCACCAGGAGAGAGGGAAGAAGGGAAAGTAAAGAAAAGTGGGGCTGGGGGGGAAATTATTTCTGATCATGCAAGATTTTGGGCAGGACCAATCCTTAAGGGGTACTGGAAGCAACCAATCATCACAGGTTAGCCTCTCCCAAACCTTGAATTCCTAATAATTTTGATTAAATGCTAATAAATAGCATGCCTGTACAACAATGGGGTAATTTCTCCCTAATAACTACACAGAAATAAAGATTCAGTTGGAATAAGAAAAACATTAGCTGTTGTGGAGTTTCAAGTAAAGCAGCTTTCCATTCAATATCTTGAGGTGGTTGCTGAATGTCTGGATCAAAAATAGTTTTCTGCACAGTGATACTGTTGAACTAACTCTTATACATTGACGAAGTAAATCTAAACAATACAATGGTGATGATTAGGATAGAAAAGATTTCTTCAGCTAAGTAAGACTGAGATGATCATCTAAAATGCTTTTCTGTCTTTCGTGGTTTCATATATATATATGTATATGTGTATATATATATATATCTATCTATATATATATATATATACACACATATATATACACGAATGTGTATACAAACACAGATTATTTTACGATTGGATCCACCAAAGCAATGAGAGTATCAAAAAAAGAGATTTTAAGGTAAGACCACACAAAAAAAGGAAAATTAAGTCTACTAGCTCTCTAAGGTGCCACATTGCCAACTATGATCACCAAGGTCTAAAAGACTTATAACTAGACAGTAAACTCATAGTTTTGAAGGACAGTGAAAAAAAAAGACCTAAATTTTGCTTAAAAGGATTGCAGATTTAAAATTGGACAGAAGCCATCTTAAAAACATTCCATTTGCCCACATTGTGACATCACATGTCAGTGTAAAGCTATTGTTAGCAAATGCTGACTGCTTCATGATGATTCCTTCATCCTTATGAAAAGCATCAATCATCTTTCAGGAATAAAAGCTGGTAAATCATGTATTTATAATAAATTCTAACCAGAAGCAGATGAAAACTTTTTGTCTTCAGAAAAAACACTTCTGAAGATCAGTTTAATATTAAAATGGCAAATTATAACATAAAAAGCACACTTAAAAAGATAATGAGGAAAGTTTAAGCATGCACACAAGCCACCAAGCCTTCTAGCTCTGCTTCTCTGTAATGAGATTAACACAACTCCTGTAGCTGCCATCTCCAATCATCACTTAGATTATCAACTGGACTACAGCCAAGGTTCTAATTGCAACACAGAAGCAAAGTTGCTACTACAATAAATTTATTTAATTCTGTGTGACAGCTTACAAGCTTTTCCCCACACAGCACTGGTTCTTACACAGAACTCTGCAGTCCAGTTACCTGTAACCATTTCTTTTCTTGAAAAAGCTGGCTTCGTTTTGTGGCCGAAACCTGCATCCTCTCCTGGAAAGTTGATCTCAAAAGTTTATGTTCTTGTTCATGACAAAGATCATTTTCTTCATGTCTAACCCTTTGAGAAAAACATGACAAAAGCTAAAAATTAGTGTTATCGACAAGTATCAATGTCTCAAAGATTAAATAGATCAGAATGCTACATGTTACCTTTAGAGTCATAACACTCCATCACCAGAATGATTACATCTTAACAGATACAGTTAGGGAACAAGAGATTTTTCCTTGGCATATCTTCCTTTGTTATCTCAAACATTTACACTGTTTCTACAACATGCTGAAGAAAGAAAATGGAAAACTTGTGTAGCTTCAGGCTTCCCCCAGCTTTTTCATATTTCAGAAATTTATCCATCACTGCCTTGAAAGAGACAAAACTAAGGCATCTAGTTTCTATCAATACAGAGAAATGTCTCTCTTAGACAGAAGTTTAGAAACTTGCCAAAGCCATTTTTGCAGCTTCTGTCAGCTTTTAGAGACTACATTAGAGATCATCTGGAGTGTTCGTTCCACGATGCCTAATTTTACTTCTCTCTTGCACAGCGAGTTCTTTCAAAATTGCAGTCAGTGGGTTTCCTCACAGTGGTTTGTACAACTCCCAGTCGTAAATGTTAGCATGACTGGACCCCAAGGAAATCAGTGAATTACGTTAAGTATCAATTCTATAATCAGACTATCAAAATGTACCTGCAAACAATGCAAATCTGCTTAAGGGCACGTACACTTGCAAGGCCAATTGCATTTTTGTGTCCATCTCTAGGGACAAGTACATGCATTTCCACATAGAGGGTATAGGTGCATTTCAGTATCATGTTTAAAAAATAGTCTCAAACAAAGAATGTTTTTGAAGTATGATTTCCCACTGTAATCTTGCAAAGCAAATATATCCATGCCACACACAAAACATGCATCACAAGTCTGGTTTAAGCATGATTAGTCACGCAATCATGATCTCCATGCACAGCTGTTGAACAAGCCTGTAGAACAAGAGGTTCTCATCTATTCTCCAGGACCATCAAAAGACCAGCATCCTTTACTCCCTCTCTATAGGCTGAAGAATGTACTGAAAAAACAAAATAAAACCTTGGCCCTAAAATAAATATCATTAAGCAAAATAAACATAATGACAGGAACTGTATCTCTGTAATAACAGCACAGATCAAAGCAACATCTGTATTAGGAGGTGTTAAGACCGTCACTGTGCCTTACAATCATCATAGGTTCCTGTGGATCCAACCAACCACACGTCCCAGCAGCTCTGAAGCCACCTTCCTTCAGTTGGACCTGCATCTTTCCTAGAGAGGTACGTAATAAATTTCCAAGTGGTCGATCAAAGTTTAGGAAAAATTCTCAGAACCTTCTCGGAAATCCCATGGATATCTGCCTACTTGGTACTGATGGAACAGAAACAAGATCTCTCTGATCTCAAACCTGGGTGACTGCACAGTGCTGTTTCCTAAGCTAAACATAACCAAATCTGGCTTCTACTCTGCCCCCAATATCCTGTGTCAACATCAAATGCATTCACCTAAAAACTCATCTCATAATTTAATTAAGTAAAACAAAACCAGGGCATGAATTTCAGCTTTGTATATTAAACAACCTGCCAAACATACTTTTCATTTTAGGACATTGCGAAAAGATGAGACTGGCTTACCTACAGTAAAACTGCAATGTTCTGGTCTTCTGGGGCTAGTTTGATCATCTTTTTAATTTTCCAGGTTAAAAAACAACAACAATAAACCAAAAAAGAAGTCGTGGGTATACTGCTTTTGTTCCAGTTCAAAATTAAAATAAAAACTGGAGCCTACAAATTTTCCTTGAAGAAGCAGTCATGTTTTCCACTGTACCATCTAAAAATAATTTTGGAAAAGTCTTAAACCTCTTTACAGAAGACAAAGTGTATGCTTGCTGTATCAACAAGAGCATCAGACCACAGACAAAGCAGTATAAAAGGCTACAAGAATCAAATGAGCAAAAAAAAAAAAAAAAAAAGGGTCACAACAACAGTCAAACTCAAGCTCAAAGAAAGGAGTGTGCATTAGACAGAAAAGAGGATATTAACCTGCCCCTGAAAAATGGCACCGCTCAGACCTGTGCAAAGAGAGGAGTTACAGATCTAATCATACACAGAACAAGAACACTTTCATAACTATATATAACATCTATATATATTAAAAAAATCGTATATATATATTATATAGGGACAAAAATAAGCAGACTTCGTAGCTGAAGGATGCTTTAGTGACTCAGTTTCTATGACACCAGAGACACCACCACCTCTAGAGCCAAAATCATTATTACAAATTAATGCACGAAGTAAACACATCTTAATGACCAAATAGAGAATGGTGTATCCTAATCTTAAAGCCTCAGAAGGTAGAAGGAAACAGCTCTGAAGGAGTGCAGCTTGTTTTAAATCTCCCATATTAGTAGACGCTATAAACAGAGGCTAAAAATAACTTCAGATTCTCAAACTTTGAAAAAAAAAATTCTATTATCTTTACTGATTTTATCTAATTTTCATGTCTATCAAAAATTACACCCAAACATATTGACTAGCACACTGCAGCCTTTATATGTACCAGCTGCCAGAAAACAAAAGGTTTTCCTTGTTTCATTTGTGCTATTGCATTTGAGAATAGCTTTCAATACCTATAAAGCATCCTCTTACTTCTAACAACAGTAACTAGGAGCATAGACAAAGACAGAACAAGAAATAGAGGCAACTTTTTTTTTCCTAAGCTAACTACCCCCCTTGGGTCATCCAACATATCTCGCATTCCCCCAATCTTTGAAGCTGTTATCCCTTCAAGACAAGGCTGAGAATCTTTTTTTGTGACTTTGTACAGTTCTGAGCACAATACTGCCACCTAACAAGTAGCATACAAAAGGAAGCTCCAAAAGATCTATTCATATCAAAAAATAATCTGGTTTTACTTTATATTTAAATATCCTTTCATCGCCTGAAAGGGAGCATCAGAATTAACTCCACGGGGAACCGCTGCTCAAGCTGTGTTGCTGTTGTATGCTCAAGCTGCCATGCCAAGGATTCAATCCCATTCCCACTCAACATCAATCAGAAACGTTCCATTTAATTTGCCAGTTCATCATGATCAATGTTTTTCAGGGCAGTTCTGAAAGAATTGCAGGAAGAAAAAAAAAAAAAGAGTCGCAGGGTAGGATTTTCATAAACAAGCTCCATATTGATATGTTAGAAGGTAATTAAAACTCTTTATTAAAATTATTCATAAAGTGTATTCTGCGTTTTGAGAAAAAAGAAGCACCATTTTACATGATAACGAAGCAGCAAACTTACCGATGATCAGTAGCCCAGCGCAATGCTGCCTGAACTTGGGTAGTGAATCTATCCAAAAAATTGCTGACTGAAGGATGCCTTGAAGGAAGTTGAAATTTTAAAGATTTTTTCTCTTTTTCCAGTTCTTCCAGTTTCCGTCTAAATTTATCAGCTAGAAATTAAAGAAAAAAAAAAAAAGAAAATTAAACAGTGACAAAACAGTCCTGTTTTACCCAAAGAAAAAAAAAATCTCTCTCAAAAAAAAATAAAATCCACTTCACAGATGGTTCTTCTTCTTCCCCTTTTGATAAAAAGTATCAGTCTGTTTCGCTCAAAGATGAATTAACAAGACTACAATGGAAAACATCAAATAACCAAGATGCTAAGCTACTTTATTCTATGACAAGGACAAAACTGCAGGCTTCACAGCACTTTCACAGAGTTTTAATTTGATAGGGCTCCAAAGAATTGGTTCAAAGTTATCATCCATGCTCTTTTTCTGGAGTAACTGCTGAAAATTCAATTCTAGTAACACTGCTACTCTTCACTGCTTCAGTATGTCTTAAAACTTACATGGCAGTTACACATTTAAATTCTGGCCTTTTAAAAACTTGTATTGTTATTAGGTCAAGAACTGAAGAATCAGATACGATATCGCAGCAGTGCGTTTCAGCAGAAAATGCACATGTAACTATAGCAATTAAACAATCATCACATTCCAGGTTTTCCTGAGTTACCCTTAGTTTATCGTCCAACAAAAAGATTTACTTTCAACTTGAAGTAAAAATGATAGTGGTCCCTAAGAGATGGCTTTGATTCTACCATAACTCTACACATTTCTTAGGGTAACCACTTCTCTATATGTTACTTCTTATTTGTTTTCTGTCCCTGTGTAGGAAACAAAGGAACATCTTTCCAATTGTTAATTATTATTTCCAGTATGTCTATCTTCTATTGTGCCAGTGCGCTAGCAAAATCACATACGTGACAGATAACAAGACTGCCTCGTCCAAGATAGAACACCTTAGACGGTACATTAGTCAAATCAGAGAGTTTTGAGCTAACCCACTAACAGAAAACCTTTACAATTCAGTACTTTCCTTGTGACCTCGCTGCCTACAATTTTGTGCCATTAGCAATCCTAATATTTTCAATACATTATTATCAGAATAACATCCACCTGTGCATGCTTTTTATTGCTTATTTTCTTTCTTTATCCTCAAAGGTGGTTTAAGAAGAGGAGTTGTTTATATTTACTGGTTTAGAGAAATGACGTATTTTTACAATAATCTATCATTAGTGGGGGCCTCTGGTGGTCTAGTGGTTAGGGTGCAGGACTCTCACCGCTGCGACCCGGGTTCGATTCCCAGCCCCCCGGGCAGATGGAGCTCGTCAGCCCTGTAAGGCAATCCATCTAAGAGAAGGTCACTCTAAACAAACCTACGT